TTTACATTTACAGTACAGCTATGACCATGAGGAGAAAGATTTCCAAGCATCCTTTCCACAAGAAATGCAAATTCAACCCCTGTCTCATAGTTATATATGCAAGAGAAACAAGCGGCCACCAAAACTGAAACCATGACATATTAAAAGTCTGACCAACTTGCACTAAAGCAAATACAACCCAACATCATTCTCCCTTATCAAGTTGTCGTAAACTGCAGGATTAAGAGAGAACAATGTCAGCAGGGACTTCAGGTTCCTGTATCAGTAACAGATAACCTGAACTGTCATTGGTTGGGGCCTGTTCATTTGTCATATAACAATTAACAACTCTACTTTGGTTCTTCTGAACACATTTGAAGTTGAGCTAAAAAAAACACAAACAACCCAAACAATCCCATAGCCCCTTTCCATCTGATAATACTTCTCATTATGATAGTCTGAGTGCTTTTGAAATCCTAGTGACACCATCTTGGAAGTCTGATCATGACTGTAACAGGTGTTAATCCCCCAAGGATAACAATGGATAACTTGATCCAAAACGTAGGCATGCCACCCAAAGGATTTGATTATAAATGGAAGGTTTTAAGAAGAGAAGATTCATGTTAAGAAGAGCCCAGCACACGTGACACAGAGGAAGATACATTTTTCCTTTTCACTTGACTTCCCTTCTTCTTCTACCACTTCTCATTCTATGGTATTTTAGACTAACACAACTTTGAGAAACAAATGAATTGTACCCCAAGAACAAGACTCCAGATAGAGTGTGTTTTGTACAAGCATACAGAACAGAAGGACTTTCTATATGCCACGGACTGGCATCCCAAAGGAAACTTACTGCATAGTCTATTCGTCTTTGCTTGTCAGAAAAAGCAGCACACAGTGGACTGAGATGCATGCTGCATACCTTTGTTCTCAATGAAGATTTATCACTCGTACTAAAAACAAATCCTTAAGCCAGTGAAAAGGAGATGGAAAGTAATACAATTAAAAAAAAAATGCAGTAAAATAGAAACAAGTAAAAATGATGTCTCTAATCAAATATTTCCTCTGGGCACTAGGCAACTATTAGGTGGTTTGGTGCAAGCTTAAGACACCTCGCAAGAGCCGTTTATCTCCAACAGTGCAAATGAGGTTAATGGACTCATTTTCACTCTGTGATTCACTTTCTCTGCAGAAGCAGAAGGTATTTTGTTTTATGCAGATAATTGGAAACAACAAAGAAACATCATTCTCTAGAGCTTAGTAGAAAGAAGTGAATTTCCTTTTCCAAAAAGAAACAAATTCAATACAAGAAAGAGAAGGAAAATAAAACCACTGGGGAGAGAAGAATACTTATACTGAAGGGTAATAGGCAATTAGCAGCCACCCTCCCACATACACCACCAGCACACACTCACAGAATCTACAGAAATGCCTCATCTTAACAGAGCTTCCCCTAACTCTTATGCTTTAATAAAACACCACTGCTGGCTGTCCCTTGGGAGGTTCTTAGTAGTAAGAAACAGCACAGGAGAGCCCAAAAAGAGTTTAAAAAAAAGCAAACCAGAAAAAACAAACCAAACCAAAGAAAACCCCAAAGACTAAATTACTGAACATGATTTATTCTCTGAGAAATAAAAAAAAAAAATAAAAATATACTCTTGTAATTTACAATTTTTCAAATCTGGAACATTAGTTCTGTAGGTAGAAGTCACAAAACATTCCAGTTTCCACATCTCCTCTACCCAAATACTGCTGTACATATTGTAAAAATCTGAGTTTGGCGGTCAATTGAGTTTGGTAGACAAGCATTTCTATCCAATAGGAACTCGTTTTGAGGGAAACAGAGAGTGTCTACCAGGTCTGGCTTCTCTAACAGGCCAGCTTTCTCAGAATGGTAGCTGGAAGCTACTACTAGACAGGGAGGTTGATGAGCCAGGCCCAGTACATCACTCAGTATCCAAATGAGCTATTTCTATGCTAATGCCTTCAGTGTCTCCCCAGTGTTCAACTGCCTACTGTACATACTTGCATGTACAAGGGGAAGGACCAGTCTGACTCCCATGCTGCTTCCTGCCTTTGCCAACATTTCTAATGCCAAGAAAAAATGCACAACCATCCCATGTCCCTGTATTCCCCCTGTTATTTCCGGACTTATACTGCGCTGAGACATAATCAAGTTCTAATAAAAACGCTGTGAGTACAATTAAGGACTTTTTCAGGCATCACTTCAAACCTACCCATATAAAAACTTAGTATTTGTGATTTGTCTGGAATGCTTTATCATTACATCTGCCATAGTACTGTTCTCTTTGCCCACTCAATCCATTCACAATTTTGATAGATTGGCTATTTTATCATAAACCTAATATTATGGGATACTACCAGTGGGACAAAGTTATGACAATAAACAAAAATGAACACTATTCTCAAAAACAGACAGTCTCAGGAATTCACACTCGATATGTGGTACTTCTCTTATAGTAAAAGTTGTAGTTATTTTTACAGAAAAGGGTCTATCTTGTGTCTGCCTTACTCCTTTGAGGCAGCACCCATTTTATTGTAATTACTTTTCTCTTTAAAATCTCCAATATATTTTCGAGAAAGTATTATGCTGCAGTGCAACAAGCAACCTTTAAATCTTTTCTTCAACAGAGACAACACCACTGCCTATAGTATACAGTACTGGGAAGAGTTTTCAGTGCCTTCTGGAAATGCTGTACAACCTCTCTGATCACAAATTCAATGGACTTAGCTTTCTCAGTACTTTTAAAATCAAGAAATACAGTACTGGGAAGGGATGAACACTGTATCTTTAAAACTGATAAATTAACTTCTGCATTTGTGATATATATGCTCAGATTTTAGTAATGCAAAGGTTTAACAGTCCATACACCTGGAACTCTTGTATTCAGATCTCTAGCAAAGAAATCTACTGGACTCCTTTTCACATCGAAAAATTATCATCACTAAAGAACGATAATTCTGCTAGCCATTTTGCAGTGTGCAAAAAAAAGTACTACCTTCTGAATTCAAGAGCCAATTGTCTCTTTCCTAACCAATTATGCATATTTGTAGACTAAGAGTATTTAAGATTTTCTCATTTTATCATTTCTGAAGAAACTAATGAAAACTTCTTTGAGAATTAACATGCGGTGCAAACATTTGAAGTTCCCCACTATTTCCACTTCTACACCCTCTTCTTTCAACTATTACTTATTAACTGCTATAACTTCAAGGGCTCACAAGGAAAAATAAGGAAGAACACATAAGTGTAGAAGGAATACAACAAAAAAAACCTTTGCCTCATAAGATGCAGATCATGAATATAAAGATTAGGTTTCTAATATGGACCCAAAAGACTGGCTTTAATTTGCAACTAAACTGTAATTAACAGATACATATAACAAAATAATTAACAAATGTATATATAGCAGTATTCACGTGGGAGCTTACTAAAACAAATGGGTTCCTGAGATCAAAGTTAGAAATAAAGCTTCTTCAGATTAACAGCTTAAGACATTTAAAATGAAAAAGCGCAGTGTTGCAAATGCAGACTTCTCATTTCGAAATAAAAGTGGACTTGAAGGTTAGGACACTAATATTTCTGATCCACCTCTAGAAGACCTTTCTGATTACAAAAAGATAATATGGAAAACAACAAAAAAAAACACTATAGCTTATACAATAAGGACACATATTTGGGTGAACAGATTTTGAAATGACACTTCAGGGACTTCATGATTTTCATATCCCACTACAACAAGATCCACATACACACTATTTTTAATAGAAAGATGATGAATTATAAAGTACAGGTCAAAAATTACAAGTAAAGCAGATTTCAGAATGCTACCGAAAAGACAACAAATCAAGCCAGATTTTGATTAAAAGGATATAAAAGCTCTCTGGAGAAACTAGACAAATCTATTCCTCACAAGCAGAGTCAGAGCTAAAAGACATTTCAGCAGAAATCAATGAATCTCTCTCCAGAAATACAATACTAGTGTGGGGATTTCACCTATTAAAATTAACAGAATTTAACACTGGATGCATTGTATATGGCATTTCTTTTCATTTTCTCCTATGTGTGCTTAACAACTTCATTTAATGAGAATGCTTCAGACTGACAAATTGAAGGTACTATGTTTTGACAATAAAATATTTTTCAGCCTTTATCATGGCTATGCTAGAACTCTTACTTGAGGCAATATGATTAAAAAAAAACACCCTATTCAGGTTATTAGCTGAATTAAGGATATAGAAGAAGATATATATTGCAGCAACAGGAAGTTCACCTCTTGAGACAGATCAACTTTAATTTGGTAATAATGAAATGCGAATAACCTTGTAAGGATATTTTTCCCTTTCTACTTACAGTACTTTATATGCCACCAACTTTTCTATCACTTGAGCAATGTTATGACTATATCTAGTATCATATTTATATTTTATTTTGATTAGACATGTAACATTTTAGTTTGCGTAAAAAAAAAAAAAAATCAGTTTGAAACACTGATAAATTCTACTTTCAAAATTTATGTTCTCTGCCTGAAGCTTTCATGTGCAACCTCACACATGTGGGATGCTTCAAAAGTACAACTTGCAACTTTTTTGATCTTTGCATTTGAGCTTGCTGAGAATTCTGCTTGAACAAAGACTTCAGATCACTGCTGAATCAGAAGTTCTTAAAAAAAAAACAAAAAACAACCAAACCTGCTAGCAGTATGAAAAGTAACATGTTTGAGTTTCAACTAACCCTCAACAACCTTCTCCTATGGGACAGTAACACATGGAAAATAATTCTGACATTCTAAATAGGCTTTTTAATATAGAACTTTAAATGAGCATTAAAAAAAAATCCAAGAGTTTTGATGGCCTAACATAGAAATGCAAGAAGAGTAAGTTACCATTTGCATTAAGATCTACACGAATTAATTATAACCTGAGCTGCATTTCACCTATTATGTAGATTAGAAGAAAGAGCATTTTAAGCAGATATTTGTTGATATTTTTTTTACCTCCAAAGAAGTATTTCTCTCCAGTCTTAACCTGTAGAGGGCTGTTTGTTCGAACAGCTGAAGCTTCATCGCCATCAATGGTGAGGACAGCAAAATTTTCCTTAGCTAGGAATCGGGCTTCATGCCACTGCCCATCATTGAGACCAGAGCCTAAGAAAACAAAAGTCATTGGGAACATTTTACTTACGTCACTATATACTATGTCTCAGACCCAGGGTCATTATATAACTTTTAACAAAGGCTACTGCAGAAAGGAAATAACTTTAGTGTCATAAAAAATCATTGCTGTTGAAGTCATAATTACCCAAAAAATAACATTGTAACATAAATACTAGTCTTGGAACTACTGAAGTGTCCATACTACCAGGTATAACTGTATCTAACTACCAATGTTATTACTCACCTTTCCCATCAAAAGGCCATATTCTACATTTTACTAATAAAGAGTATCTCTTAATTGTTTCTATGATCAAGTTCAGAAAGAAAAGATATTAATTTATTTAACTGTGAGTTACAAGCCAAAGGGGCACATTATGCTTCTGATTGCGGCCTTTATCAAAAGCTAAATATTTCCAAGAAAAGGGAAATTAAAAATAGGAGGGGAAAGGTTCACATTCACAGCAAATCCTGTATTGGGATGTGGTGCTAGTGACAGAATATTAAGACATTATCACAGAGGCACTGAAAAAACAGGAAACATCTGCCAAAACCTGCAATCTTAAGGGAGCACCACCCTCCCAATACTGACAGCAGTGAAGCAGATGGATCTGATCATTCATTCAGACCTTTATATAAAAGACAGAATTATATACTCCTTACACTGTCTCCAGCAGCATCTGGCAGGAAGCCAGTCTGTCCTGCAAGTTAAACTGTCATTGAAGAGCTGTGAGTACTAAGTTTGTTCTGGCCATTACTGTGCAGGCAGTTATGTTGGGTCAGCAAGTAAATAGCAAACACTCCAGTAAAAGCACATCACTCTTACAAGTGATGTTTAATCCACTAGACAAAGGTGCTAAAATGTCATTTTCCAAAATAAACCACAACACAATGCAATAAATCGTTCCTAACACTAAATGTGATGCAAAATATCAGCAGAAGTATAATGGAAGATAAACTTTAAAAATATTGGAAAGACTATTATCTTCTATGAACAAGGAATAACAGTCATGGCAAACAGATAAACCCAAACAATTACTATTTTTTCCCAGTGCTTCCATATGTTTAAGATACAAGACCTAGTCCTCAACATGGAGTGCTATACCTTGGAACATTCATTACTGTGAATAAAAGCCTCTTGAAAAATATATCAGTAAGAAATGTTTCTACCAAAGCTTGTTCCATCTAGTGTAAGAATAGATGAAAGACCTAATACACTAAATATGAGAAAAGCTTTCTGTTTGCAAGTCTTTTTCTTGTTTTCATTACATTTGACATACAAAGAAGAAACAGAAAACCACACAATTACAATCCAGATAAAATTAATTTCAACTATTAATAAACTTGGGAAAGAGACTATACCTTTCTACAGGGTTCCAAAATTGCTGCAATATGTTACTACACTTAAGTTTACCTGAACATACTTAAACCCAAATTTTCCAGCTGGTTCCAGCATTATTTCTCCTCTTTTGCCCTTATGTCTTCTGCAGTGCTGCAGCCAGAGGAAGGATACTCCACAGCTCTGTTATTTGTGGTGTCTTTTATACAGACTTCATTGCTAAATGTTAAGATATGCAGGGAAAGTGCCCGAGACATTAACTCTCACCAGGTGAAGTAAATAAACCCAAAACAACAAACAGCATCAACCTTTAATGTAAATGGAGATTTTTTTCATATTCTTCATTTTTGCCTTAAAAATCCATGATTCTTTCCTTAAAATTGATAGAATGTCCTAAACTTGACAGAATGGAAACAAAAATAGGCAGGAAATTAGTTTTGAAGAAAAGACACATCTGGTTTAGAAAGCCACAGGAAAAGATCTCACCTCTCACAGGGCTGAAACTGACTTTCTGTGTTCACCTGGGTGTAAGCACCTGTGGGCTGCTGACTGTTTTATACAGTGACCCTTATTTATGGAAAATGTACCCCACCGCCTCGAAACACCACAGGGTCGTTTGGCCTCTGCAGGCCTTCCAGGGCTCCCAGAGCAGCCTCTGGGCAGGAGCTGGAACAAAACCTCACACAGGTGCGGTAGGAAACGGAGCTGTGAGTTCACAGGCACATCTCGCGTTCTCCTCAGGCTCTGGAGAAGCGGAAATACTCGTGAGTTAAGCGGTGAGGGCCTTCAGTTCGGCTGAAGCACGGACTTGTACCGGGCTTTGTGCCTGAACGCCGCCGGGGGCCGGCGAGGTCTCCCTGAGGTGAGGTGAGGTGAGGTGAGGTGAGTCCAGTCCGGTTCCAGCCGGTTCCAGCGGCCCCACGGCGGGAAACAGCGCAGCCCCTCGGCCGCGGGCGGGCGCCTCGTGCACAGCGCCCTCGGCTGAGGAGGGGCGGGCGCTGCCCGGCGGGGAGCGCTGAGGAGAGAAGGGTGAGGAGCGGCCCGGCCAGCCCCGAGGGCAGAGCGGCAGGAGGGGCTCCCGCCGCCCCCCGCAGCGGTTCCACGGAGACTCCCCCCCGGAGGTCGCGAGTGGAGAGCTCCTGAGGGAGCTGCGGCCTGCGCGGAGCCAGAGATGTTGCCGCGGGAGCCGCAAAGAGAAGCCGCTGTGTCCCGGTCACAGTCCCGCATCCCCAGAGGGCTGCTCGGGAATAGGAGGTAGGAGCTACGGTAGTGAGGAATTGAAGCTGAACCTCAGCTTGGGAGAGGAAAGGTTTTAATGACTGTCTTTGTTTCTACTACCTAAATCTATTGTCAAAAAGTAGAACAAGTAGTCTAAACCATGAAAATACATTTAAAAAAAAAAAAAGAGAAAGCCATAATTGCTGTCACACCCAATTTGTGAGTTAAAGTTCCTGGCACACTTTTTTACTGGGGGAGAGATTTGTCCAACTCAGCATGGACTTCTGAACATCTTGGAAAGTCCCAAAACATTCCCACCTTCTTAAAGCACAGAAATAGGTGATGTGATCTGCTGAAATACCAAGTGAAAATGGTGCACAGTATGCTAGCCTAAGAAGTGCACAGGTACTTCTATCTCTGGTATGCTCTCCCAGTGTGCAGTAAAAACACCCCAAGCTCACCGGCATCACACTGAAAGAAATGAATGTTGTTGTGAGTCAAGGAAAGAAGCCGGTTGAGGGAAGGTGGATCTCAGCAGACCAGATAGGAATGGGGACATGAGGAGAGCTGTAGCAAAAACTAATGCCATGCATTGCTTCTGTGTGCACAGTATTTAGCAAAATATACTTAAGGGGGTTTGCTGCTCTCTCTAAGCTGCTTGCTAGAAGCATGACAGTATAGAGGGGAGTATTGTCAACTCTCCTTCCTTAACATGTTAATGCTCTGTTTCAGGGACTTAAATTGAAATACGTAGTATATTCTCCCATAGGGGCTAAGTTTGTACAGCTGCATTACTGTAGTCTTTTAGTACATGCCTCATGTATATTTCTCCTTGGACTTAAAGTCAAGCTTAACTGAGATCTTCTATAAACCAAGACTCAATATTAAGAGTAGAATAAGGCTCTATTAAAAGAATTTTCAGCTGGGAAGTTTAGAACGGACAGCATCCCAAATGCACAGCAATGATTTCTCATTGCAGTTTGAGCTTTCTCATCTGAGCTGATACATATATTTATTTGCATTCTTTTTTTTTCCTTACTGTAACTTTCTGGTATAGAAGTTGAGAAAAAAATAACAACCCAACCACATACTGCTGTCACCAGAAATTCCCCGCTGAGTTCTGAAAAAGCTGGTTTCATATGCAAATTAAATATGTTAATGAAATGCATTCTCCCTATCTAGGATTTGTGTTTAAATGGCATTATTTTAGAAGTAGGACTCTTGAGGTAGGCACTTTGATTGAACAAGAAGAAACAGATGTTTTGCTTATTATAGACATAGAAGGAGTAGATTAACGAATACCAAAAGAGTACAAGAGTTTAATGCGTAATGAACAACTTAGATAACAGCTGGTTGAGTTATGCCTTCAAGAAAACTATAGTAGCAAACCTGTCAAATTATTCTACAGTTAATCTTGTGCAGTCAAATATCCCTATACAGGTACTGACCCACTCAGGGGCTACTAACGAGTGCTAGATTATACAGTCTGCTGATGCACACAGACAAGGTTCATCTGAAGTCAACAGCATCACATCTGCTACATCAGAACAGAACCTTATCGTAATTCTGATTTATGACTGTAGCTCAGTTTAAGAATAAAACAGGGATATTATAGTATCTGCACTTCATGAAGCACTGAAGCCATCTAAGGCTATGCAGCTGCAAACTGGTCATTAGTTCCTACTGTTGCAGTAAACATATTGTAATTTCTTGTAATTTTTTAGAAGATGAACCCATTATTATTCGGGATGGGGAGACTCCAGAGCAGAACAGGGAGCATCCATATGAACAAGCCTGAGAGGTGCTGGAAGCAAGGAGGCTTTACTGGGTATTCAGCAATGAGTGTGTGGATTCCCTGTAATCCAGGAAACCACAAACCCAGTCAAAGTTTCTGTGCCGATGGCAAGACCCATCCTGTCTGAGGATGAATGCAGAGAGGGAGAGGTTGGTTTATCACTGCTTTTACTGTAGCCTGCCAACCCCATGTTTCATCTGAGGATGCTGGTGTAGTTGCTATTCCTGCCTAACCCCTTGCTAATTCAGTACAATTTTGCACCAGTATTTCTATTGAGAAAACAAGCCAACTGTATTTTGTTTGAAACGTTCAGTTGTGTTCAAATATACAGCAATACATGCCATTAATATTCAAATGGAAAAAGAAAAAATAATCACCAGGATGTAATTACAAGAGCTGTGCTTTTCTGTGTTTAGCTAATTGTATTTTTAAACTGGAAAGACAAAATCACAGCTCTTCCTATGCTAATATTTTACAAATATTACAAATTTTACAAAGTTTATGCAATACACTATATTTATAATCTGGTTTAGGATTTATGATTCAGAAAAGTCCTTCTCATTTTTAGTTTTAACAATTTTTTTCAGCTATCCAGATGAACAGTAAGCTAAGACTGTAGCAAATGCAGCCCTTGAAGGGATT